CCCCCCCATTTATTTTTCCCGGTTCACTTACCAGATTCTGCTGTTTGTTTAACCTTTCGTCATGGAGCTCCCTGTTCAACTCTGCTTTGGACCCAAATAAGGGCAAATGGGGAAAAGGTTGGGAGCACCTCCAACAGAACCCAGACGTCTTTTGCCTCCCATTTGCCCCCCCGGGGGGAAAAAAAAAAAAGGAAACCGCAATGTCCTTTTAAAAACCCATTTTGAGGGGTTTTTACTAAAAAACTTTGCTTACAGCCACCCAAAAAATGTAATTTTTCATTTTCAAAGACTCTCAAGCTAAATTCCTCAACTTTGGGGGCCTTTTTCTTGCTATTTTTCCTTCTGAACCCAGGTGACCCTGCCCTCCTTCAATTGCAAATATTTCTCCCTTTTTCCAACCTAGAGGGGGGGGGGGGGGGGGGGGGTTCACAAAAAGAAAAGCAAACGAACAGGCTTTTTGAAGTTGATACCAATAACCCAAAATATGCCCAAAAATTGACGAGCGCCTGATTTCACAACGTTGTGACAAAAATCATATTATTGAGTTTACTCTAAACAATACACATCATTCCAGTACTTGTCACAGCTGACTACATGATGTATGTATTGTGAGTCAGTCCCAGTGGAAGTTCCATTCTTGTTTACAATATTTTTAATCCTCTGGCGAATGCCGTCACTCTCCTGACTACCTGTAGGGAAACAGAAAACACGACATAAGTAGAAGCAAAAGAAATGACTAATCAGAGGCGAAGCTTCTATATATATAATCAAATAATCACGCTGCTTCCCTTCTTAACCTCATCGCAGTCAAATTCACAAATAGCTGTCCTCAGAGAAATTCGCGCCCGCAACCCGCAAGTTGCGCGCGTAACTTTTGCCCTCAGCGCAAATTTTGCGCAACTTTTATCATTTTCGGGAATTCGCGAATTTTAGCCAATTTCCGGCAAATTTTGGGAAAATAATAATAAAATGTCATTAAAAACACCGAAATTTTCTTCCACGACTAAAAGTAACGACGCCAAGGGGGACAATTCGCTCCTTTGCACTACGGACGGGGTGCCCGCCTTCAAGGTGGATGAATCGAGGTTGCATGTGCCTGTGCTCTGTTGCTTCGTATTAGAAAAAAGAGAAAGAGAAAACAGTAGGCCTATTAGGTCATCCTGCCCCACCGATGTTGTAGCAATTCACAACTGCTCGGGACTCAATGCAACAAAAATGTCACGTCCCAATAATAGGTGCGGTACATTACACTCAAGTTCAAAGGTTTCAAACCTCAGACGGGCCTTTCCCTGGGCGAACTTTCGTAGGCCTAGTGAAGTAGGGGCAAGAAACTGCCAGTCAGTCACTAGTAGAGGTGTGCGAGTCCAGCATATTAAGATTCGAGTCCAGACTCGAGTATCTGCTCTGGACTCGAGTAATTACTCGAGTAATTACTCGAGTCCCACGGCTCTTAAGACTCGAGTTATTACTCGATTAATAGTATCCTGAAAGGGAATTTTAGTGGGTTTCAAAAAAGGTTTTGTTGAATATCGGACAGAAAATAGAGTGCCTTCCTAGGAGGGAGCTTGAGTTGGCTTATGGCAATTCTAGACATATGCTGTTTATACCGTATTTATTTTATTTTATCTTAGGAAGTGGCTATTCTCACCCCAGGTGAGAATAAAAATGTGATCGACCTCTCACCCCGGGTGAGACTAGCCAGTGTTGGCTATTCTCACCCGCTGTGAAACAAAACCGGGTGTTCCTAATTTCTGAATACTTCCTATCGGTGAGGATGATTAAATAGACAAACCCCTTTTTAAAAAAATGATATTATAACACAAAAGTAAAACTAATTTGGTGGTCTACAATGATGCTACGGCTGTTTCACTTTTAGAATAGAGCCGAACTACCCTAATCGGCATTTTGTTTTGCCCAGAAGTTCTCGCTATATCTAGGCTACTCCTCTCTCTCTCTCTCTCTCTCTCTCTCTCTCTCTCTCTCTATCTATCTCTCTCTCTCTCTCTGATATATGTAAGAGCGTAGAAAATATTGTAGTGTGTTGCCGGGAGGACGGGTGCGTGTTTCCTACCGCAGAGAATAAGAATAACAGAGATAATCTTATCTTTTCAGTGTATAAGTTTAAAGACCGCGTAGAGAGCGAGACGCGAGAGGACAGCGGTGAGAAACGCTGGAGGGAAGGATATCTTGCAAAGCAACGCTGAGCGAAAAAGCTGAAGC